TCCTTTTCATCCACTAAACCTTAAGCCCAGAAGGCATCCACTGTGAACCATTTTTGGTCATAGGACATTTTTATAAAAGGTGTTTAAGGTTTTAGAACCACATGATGCCTGGGCCAGTTGATAAGGTCTATTTGATTTTTCTTAGATAAAGTACTGGAATATTGTAGGGGGCCATGCAAGGCTTGGGGAGTCTATTCTCAAGAAGATCTTAGCTCACTGGAGTCAATCACTTCCTGAGGAATAGGTTTTTGCATCCTTTTGGCTGTTTCTTACAGGGCTTTGGGACTGATCTGAGTATCAGTAGCCACATAAAACAACAATGTTTAATAATTGACTGTTTCCTTTTCCCTTTTCTTTGGGGATTAGCTCCCAGTGCTAGAATATGAGACCCAGAGAACTATCTGGGGAACTTTATTCTTACTGGTCTAAGATCTTTTATATTTCCCTTCACCTCATTTTCCATCCCTGTCTTAAGTTTGTGATGTCCTGATCAGAGACTCTAATCAACCTTTTCCTATTGTTGAAACACATGGAAAGTCACAGGGGCCCTTCTTGGCTACTGGTGAGTGAGTATAAACCCCTGACTAGGTTGCTCCTGGACAGAATTCATTTCCTGAGGTGGCATCCTTCATATCAGCTACCACATGAGTTTTTCCTGTACTCTTCCCAAATTGTTTTCTTTGTCTCCAGCCAGATAGTTAGCTGCAGACTGGAACTGTGGATTGAGATTCTATACTTTTTTTACATTTAAATATGCATCTGAGTCACACTCATGCAACCATGAAATGTCCTAGTAGTCAAAGTGGTAGGAGAATCTTCATCTTTTTCCTATCATGTTATAACAGTGCTTGCTTAGGGATCTTATCATTGCATTTTTAATTTACTTTTGATTTTGGTTTTTCATTAGTTCCAAGATCAGAGAGTGTTTTCATACCCAGGTCTTCTACATAAAGCAGTGGGGTCCCCTCCCAGAACAGGTATCAACTACCAAGGACCTCAACCACAGAGTATCCTACATTGGGTTCTGAACTGTTAGGAGTACATCTGGAGTCTCAGGAAAATGATCAATTAATCCAAATGGTTTCAGCAAAGCAGAAAGTTTTATATATATATATAGTAAGGTGCTGTGATGATTTGAATGAGAATGTACCCTATAGACTCCAAGTATTTGACCACTTAATCCCCAGTTTGTGGTGCTATTTGGGGAGGGTCATTGAAGCTTTAGGAGGTTTGGCCATACTGGTGGAAGGGGGTAAGTTTTGAGAGTATACAGCCATGCTCTCTTCCAATCTGCTTCTCTCAGTTTCCTGTTCCTGCTTGAAGATGTGATCACTTGACTTTCTGCTCCAGCCACCTCTGCCACTGTGCCTCCCCTGCCATTATGGACTCTAACCCTCTGAAAACATCAGCCAAATAAACTGTTCCTTCTATAAGCTGCCTTGCTCATGGTATTTTATCACAGCAAAAGAAAAATAAGTAATATGCGCATAGCCATGCTAAAACAAGCAAGCAAGCACACCAAATAGGAGGACTTCTGGGTTTTAACACTAATTCAAGGAGTCCTGTGCCTCATTCTGAGTGATCAAAGCTGGGATTCACATTATTGTGGGATTGGCTAAATTGAATAAGTACAGTTGCTATGGAGTAAGAAACTTGAGCATGTATTTTTATTTTGGGAAAATGCTGGCTCAGGAAGAATTTTTGCCAAAAGGCATTTTGACATTGTTCTTTAAAAATGGAGTTTCTTTTCTCTTATTTAACCCTTTGATAAAAAAGACAGTCCTAAATTTTGTTTACTTTTCCCACAGTCTGTAGGAATTGGTGAGGAGGGAGGGAGCTTCCAGAGGAGACAGATTCTCAAAGAGGCAGTTTACAACTTTGCAGTGCTCACCTTTCATAAAATAATCCTCAAACTGCTTGTCACTGCTAATTTAAACATGAATCAGAAGAATAGCTTGGGGTTTGTGACTGTGAGGATAAATATGAACCAGCAATAGGGCCTTTAAAGTATCACAGAACCAAAGGGTATTTTATTTACTGATGACAGTAAATAAAAATAGCTGGTTCATTCTTTGCTGGAAGTTAACAAATCAAAAGGCAAACTCAAGGTAATGAGTTAGCTATCTCCTATCTGTAAAACACCCATATTTTGTTTTGAGCCATGCAGAACAGGCTTGGGCCTACTGAAATTGAAAGCCATCAATAATAGAATGTAGTGGATTATTTTGTCCTCAGTTGGCCAGCGAAGATAGTGCATTTGCATGTGTGTATACAAAACCAGGTCTAATTCAGTACATGCGAATTATCAACCAACAACGTTGGTTACTATTGCCCCAGATCTCCAATCCATAATGTGTATTTTGAGGAAAGAATCTGAATAGAATAAACATAGTTAATTTTCCTTTCTTCACATCCATTTCGGATGTGCTATAGGACATTTGGAGTAATAAGAGGAGGGTGGGTACTTAAGGGCTCCAGGTTTAGGTACAAAACCCTAAGCACAGAATATTATAAAAATAAAAAAGCAGAACCACAATGCTTATACAAATATACATTTATTTGGGGGAAAATGTCAGTCGTACCCATGAAATATGCAAAACAAAATAAGCATCAGAGAGGCTGGAGAGATGGCTTAGCTGTTAAAACCACTGGCTACTTTTGCAGAGGATCTGGTTTGGCTCCCAACACTGAAGTAGTAATTAACAACTGTCCATAACTGAAGGTCCAGCAGATCTGATGCCCTCTTCTGGCCACTGCAACTTTACACACATATGTACACTTACATAGATGCAGACAAAATACTCATTACATAAAAATAAATATATCAAATATTTTTTTAAAAGCAGAAATGGGTCCAAATGAGAACAAATTACAACTTTTCAATTTTTCTAATTCAAAAGAGAATTAGGGCTCCAGTTATTTCCTCTTATTATCCATTTATATTTCATTAGAAATATTGTTTTGGACTGGAAAAATTTATGTATGAATAGAAAAAAAAGCAAAATTTTTCTTGAGGGAATAAATGATAAAATAGTACTTTGAGTGATAAATTAATCTAATAAAACATATTAATAATCTATGCTTCCCAGTCATTAGATTGTTATTATTTTGATGGTGTTATTTATACAAAGTTATACACCATAGGATAAGGTACAACAGATATCTTTATAATTGCCACTTTGTTTAAATAGTTGAGTAAAAGATTAGCTATTTCCTAGTGTATGCCCCTACACATAATCCAGTATCTGTTTACCATGGCTTTAGTTTGAAATTTATCATTTTTTACATTTAAAAGTACATTTATTAGGTATTCATTCTGTACTTTAAAACTTTATATAAATGATATCAAACTGTCTTTAACTTTTCTAACCTGCTATTGTATGCAGGATTTTTTTGTGTGTACAAAAGTTTATCTCCTTTGAAAGTTATATATTATTCCATGTTTACATTTCACACATTTACCTTTGAAATTGTACTCACCTTTCCTCTCTATGTATTTTTTAAAAGATTTTATTTTCAGATGTGTGTGTGTGTGTGTGTGTGTGTGTGTGTGTGTGTGTTAAATACTGGTGTCCTTGGAGCCCAGAGGTATCAAATCTCCCAGGAGCTGGAGTTCCATGCTATTGTGATCTTCCTGATACAGGCAGTGAGAAATGAACTTAGGTCCTCTACAAGACCAGTACATGCTCTTAATCACAGACCCATCTCTCCATAACATAGACTTTTACTCTACACACACACACACACACACATACACAGAGAGAGAGAGAGAGAGAGAGAGAGAGAGAGAGAGAGACAGAGAGACAGAGAGAGATTAAATATTCTATAAGCAGGAGAAAATATTTTGCATGGCCTGTTATATAATTGAGGATCTCTGAGCTCCAATTCAAACTAATGATGCCACTGGTGAAGACTATAGTTTAGGAAGTTGACAGCTAAAGCATCTGGTTTGTTGAAGTTACAAAGAAGCATTGTTTTAAACCATTTTCTCAAAATTTCTAAATGAGTAATTGAGATGATTATTGTAATTTACTAAAATTTACACACTGTGATTTCATTATCAGCGTTGTATTGTCTAGGAGGTGAGTGAATTAATTACTTCATGGATGTTTCCTTGAATCATGATATGGGGCTTGGTTTTCAAAGGAGGAATCTGTTTTAGTGTGTCAAGTATACTGACTTATTTTTAAAACTTCTGTGTCCAATTAAAACCCTCTCAAAGGTAAGCCTTTTCTACTTTTCGTTCAGGGTTCTCATTGATGAATATGCCCCTCAGGTTTGTGCCTTGAATTTTTCATCCTTTTGAGTTGGCGTTTAGGGCCTGCTACCATGATGCAACATTTTGTAAATAGCACCACGGTGTCTTAGAAAATGGAAAGTGCCTCAGAGACAGATATTTACCCAGACAGAATAAAATGGGTAGTTGAACAGTTACCCAATTAATTTATTAAATGTCCTCAGTCAGTCTGGATAAATCAGAGAAATGTGAAATCCCCCACTTTGTCAGCATGAGATCGGCCTGACATATGACGGGTAATTACCACGACTTTCTTCATCTTTGTTCACCTAGATGTAGCCTAAATTTTCCCCTAGTGAGTTAGTGAGAAAACTACATCATCCTCAACATTTCAGGAAACTGTTAAGCATCTTCAGCTTTGCATTGCTGCTTTGTTATAATTTCTATTATACTTTACATTTTGCTTCTCAAATAAATTTATATTTACTCTCTTTTTAAAAATGGTTTTAAGTTGGTGTCTTGTTGTAAAGTCCAGGCTGACCTCAAGCTCATAATCCTCTGCCTCAGTTTCCTGAGTGCTGGAATTCCAGGCATGAGCCATCAAGCCAAGCTCATATTTGCTTGATTGTTCAACATTTGACTAATGTGTGCATTGACTTATGTTTATAAGGAGATAATGTTTAAAGCAGTGTTTATAATACATACACATTTATTAGCCTTTAATTTACTATAAATAAAAATAACCTTGTCATTTGTTTTTTAGATGGCAGTTGAATGGGAGCGATATTGACACAAGTGTGGACCATCGGTATAGATTGAATGGCGGAAATCTCATAGTTATTAACCCCAACAGAAATTGGGATACAGGAAGCTACCAGTGTTTTGCAACAAATTCACTTGGAACAATAGTGAGCAGAGAAGCCAAACTACAATTTGCCTGTAAGTTTCTATTTGTGCATCTATCAAGACCAATATGAAAAATACTTGACTAAATTTGTATGGTCCTTTGGATTTCACAAATAATGATTTTCAAAATGATTTTATTTTACGTGTATGTGTATGTCCCTAAGTATATTTAGATATGCCCTGTGTATGTAGATGACTCAAAGATAGAAGAGGGCATAGTAGCCCCAGGAGCTAGAGTTACTGTTGTTGACCACCTGATGTGGGCGATAGTAATCAAACCTAGATTCTCTACAAGAACAGTGAGTGTTCTTCACCACTGAGCCAACCCCTAATACATGATTTTTTTAAAACTCAAAAATTAGGTTGAATTAATTGAGCATTATTCTTTGACCATAATTTAAGGAAATTTAGTTATGAAATCTGTATGTATATGAATGTGTGCATTGTATATTACTATTTTGTAAGAGTTATAATCAGGGAATGAAAGAATATGCAGTTCAAGATGTACTTACTGAACAACACTACCTCTATGCTTTATACTGTGCTCTAATTGCAAAGAAAAGAAAGTCACTGTCCCATATGGTCCTTGTTCTTGAATTTTAAATTAGAATCACATCTTACAATTTTGTAAAGAGCAAAAGGAAAAAGCGGTGTGTAAAAGAAGAGAACAGCACACATGATGCACATAGGTGACCTCCTTGTGGTTTCTCACACCTGACTTTCCCAGTGACTTTCAGCACAACCCTCACTAAGGCCAGGGTACTAGGAACAATTGTGTGTTGTATTAATGGAATCTGGGTCAACACACTTGCCAAACACAATTTTTCTCTAGAGAGTTCAAAATTGGAACCAGAGACCCAATTTCATTTTCATCTTCATCTGCTTTTCTACTTCTTGTTTCTCCTCCTTTGTTTTGGTTCTGCATTCCATATATGATGTGCAACAAACTTAGTTTTTAAGATTCCCTTTAGTGCTTTTTAAAAAAAAAATTATTTTTGATTATTTTTAATTATGTGTGTGTGTGTTTGTGCATGTATGCGTGGATCCCTCAAAGGAGGCCAGAGACATCAGGTTCCCCTAGTGTTGGGGGTTACAGGCATTTGTGAGCCACATGTCATGAGTGCCAGGAACTGAATTCAGGTACTCCACAGGAGCAGTTTGTGCTCATAGCTGTTGAGCCATTCTCCAGCTCCTTCTGTAAGTTCTTTATACCACAGTAATTCTGAAAGTTGAATGTGTATGTTCTTATAATTCAGTAGTATTTATTTTCTCTGGGCTCCCTACAGGGCATTATTAAATTGTTGGTTTGCCATTTAATGTATGGTTTATCCTTTTGCATTCTCTCTTATAGTGGCAGTGGTTGGCTTTGCTCCTGTAATTTATATTCCATGTAATCTGTCTCCCATACTTACAAGCTCCTTGCTTCCCTCCACCTATATGCACATGTACTTCTTAAGCCTGTGTCTTTCCGGGGTATTTTATATTATATAATTTATTAACCTTTTATTTTCTAAAATATCTTTATGTATTTTGGTAATATCCCAAACTTAAGTTTATCATTTCAGTCCTTCCATTTTAACAGTTTAGTTCCTCTTACTTTTAGTGTATCATTGGTAGTCTTGGTTTATTTCAATGATTATTTTGTTTTCACATACATATGATTTATTCATGTATATTGTATTATGTATATGCAAATATATGCTTATATAAAGTAAACATAAATACAAAATCTTTATAAATAATTGTGTATGTGCACGTAGTTTTTACCTGGACTTTTCCAAGATCTCTTATGTATCTTTGTTTCATTTAATTGCATATATATTTCCACTTAAAGAAATTATTTGTATTTTATATGTATGAGTGTTTTGCCTGCATGTTTGTAAGTACAATCATTGTGTACCTCATCCATGGGGGCCAGAAGAAAGTATCAGCTCCCCTGGAATTGGAGTTATGGATGGTTGTTAGCTGCCATATGGGTTCTGGGACCCAAACGTGGGTCCTCTGCAAGAACAGCAAGTGCTCTTAATTGCTGGGCCGTCTTTCCTCAGGCTCTTCTTCCCACTTTGGAATTTACTTTTTTTTTTTCAGTTTCCCAGTTTTCAACCATTTACACTTAAGAAACTCAAATACCTTTCATTCTTTTTTTATTTTAAAGAACGCTACCATATTACCCTAAATATAAAGACAGAGTTTGGTTGGTGATAAGTGTTGAACTCCAAACATGCTTGCTGTTGAAGAAAAGTAGATAACCAGACTAATTTCAGTTTCTTGGGAGCTCACAATTTCCCATTGTGTTTTCAAGTTACTTGCTTGTACCTGGTAGTATTAATTTTTCTTCACCCTTTTAGTTAAAACCTCTTTCTTACATGCATATAACTGAATTTATGTATTTTAATTTACATTTCTTAGAAACTGAAAAGTTTTCTTTGATGAGTTTCCTTCAACTACTTTCAGTTTCCTGTGTATATTTTAAAAGGCACTGGTTATCTACACATTGAATTTTTGCTCTTATTTCTAAGATTCTTTCATCTCAGTCTTCCACAGAATCTCTGTTCCAGACTCAGAAAAGCCGCTGCTTTTCTATCCTCTTTTGAAGATAAAGACCATTTTCCATAATGTTCTTCTACTGCTTCAATTTGGCATTTGTGTTTTTATGTTTTAGGATGCTCAATAGATTCCAAAACAGACTGTATTGATAGCCATGTTTATCAATAGATGATGCCAGTGGACTCTTCTGACAGGGTCTTTGCACACATGGGATTGCAGTTCTTCTCTGACAGTCAAGCCTCTGTTGCAAATCTCATTCCGTTTTCAGGTGTTTTTCACCAAATACACCACTGCTTTTTTGTACTGGCTTTTTAACTTATCATCTTCCTATTATACACAAGGCAGAATAATTAACCTCCAGGTATGTCTGTGACCAGCCAATCCTAAGGCAGATTGTGTGTATGGAAAACAGCTCTTGACTAACGTTCCTACCTATGCCTCATTCCTCACAAATACTTTATAGCAAGTGAGATGAAGGTGTGAGGAATTAGATCTACCATACTTCCTAGTTTATAAACTGCTATGTTCCTGTTTCATGGATGCTGCGGGAAGACACAAGAGTTCTGGTTAGTGGGTAAGGATTTTATTACTCTCAGAACAAGAAACTGTGAATTTCAGCATGCTTGATTCAGTTCCACTTGGCTGCCAATCCCACAAGGTGGATGGTATGCTATGGTGGATATGACACCCATAGTGGAACAGGATTGAGCTTGGAGAATCCACCCCTTTTAGAGCTAGCAGTAAACACATCTACTCTTCATCCTTGCAAGATGTATGTGTGGCTGTCAACTTAATTGGATCAAGAAATGCCTTGCAAATGAGTAAAGCTCTGGATGTGATCTGTCCAGTGGTGCATTTCCTAAGTAGATAAACTAAGGGAGGGAGACTCACCACGAATGTGGGTTGTACAGTTCCATAGGCTGAACACAAGATTGAGTAAAATCGGGAAAGGCAGGAAGCCAGGAAGCACAGGCAGAAGCTCTCTGCTTCCTGGTCACCTCCTCCAATCTCCTGATTTTGACAGACCAAAGCAGTGAGACAAGTAAGTCCTTCCTCTTGTGTGGTTGCTGTGGTGTACTCAACAAGGTAACACACAGGTCTGACTAACACTAACCTCAACCCTCTAGGTAGCTGCCTGGAAGCACAGAGCTGAGACACGGGCATCATAAAGAGTCCTTGATCCTTCCATTCTTGGCCCCTAGTGAACATATGAGAAAGCAGTTATGATCAAAATGTGCAGTGGACTCCTTCTCCCCTCAACAGCTCTCCCTTTCCTTCCCCTCTCCTCCCTATCTCCTCATCTTTTGGTGCTATCTTTGCTTTTGTGAGTGTCGGTGCACCATACCAAGGCAGATGCTCTTTCTTTCAAAAGTCAAACCCAGAATGTTCTTTTGGTCCCTGGCACTTCCCTTTGGCATTCTCATCTGTCTTAAAAGTTTTAACCATCCCTGTGCTTGACATCCAAATACTTAACAGTCTTGCTGTGTAGTGAGATACATTTGCTTTGTGCTATTTTATATTTTTTGTGCTTTCCTAAGTGATTCTTCTGGAAGTTTCAACAACATCAGGTGTTTATAAGTCTCATACCACAGTACACTTGAAAAGTACATTTTTTTTATTAATGTGATTGGGATATAGATTCTAGTAAAGAGTTCAACGAAGGTGATTGTTATTAATAATAGACTGTAAATGAAGTAGAAGTTATTTAATAATTAATATTGTCAAAGTTTAACTTGGAAACTCGGAAAGACTATAATGTTAATATATTAACTGAAGAAGGCAAAGGGTTGCAAACCTTGTGGAGACCAGTTGCAGTATCACCAGTTCAGAGGAATCTTTAGCAGTCTTTACTGAAAGTAAAGGTATGGTGATGCATTGTCATTGAAGAACATACTCCATCCCATGCAGACTGTGTTCTATGTTCGTATGGGTCATTTCCATCATGGAAACTTCATTTCCATGAGCCAGGCAGAAAGTTTTCAATAAAACAAATGGAGAAATGAAAATATAACCACCACCCCATTTTAATGAGTGAAATGTAAATATATTTTATTTTAATGTTAAGGTGTTTGAAAATAATGTGGGTAATAAATGAAAGCGAAGAAGGTATTCATTGTTCGGGAAGACTGCTTTCTACAGACAGTCTTGGCTCCTTTTAATAGATTGTTTGTAGAAGTCTCACAAGGACCATAGGCAGAAGAAATATGTGAAGGAACGTTAGAATTTTACACATGTTCTGAGTTACTAGGTATTGCACTATGTGCATATAATTTGGGGTGGCTGAGGAATGGAGCTGGGAGTACTTTTAAACTTCTTACTTTTGTCCACTGATGGCTTAGAGAGTTGCTTTCAAAAGCTCAAATTTTCTTACTTTAATAGTTTGCTTTCCTTCAAAATAATTCTTTTAACATTTTTATTTATTTTTTATTTTATGTGTGTAACTGTATCATATGCATGTATGTAAATATACCCATGTCGGGAAATGC